TACCTTCCAGACTTGGTCTGTAACTTGAGAGTCAGGAGGACGAGTCATCTCAACAATAAAGTCCGCAAAGGCTTGCCCCTTCACTGCTTTTCTAGGCTCAAAAGTAACTTCGAGGCTCTGTATTTCTATGGCCCATTTGATCATTCGGCCTAACGACTCCATGATGGTCAATGGCCGCTTGATAGGTTGGTCTGTATACACGACGACTGCATGTGCCAAAAAGTAGGGCTTCAATTTTTTAACAGCCATGAAGAGTGCAAGACCAAATTTCTCCACTAAGGGATACCTCAACTCGACATTTTTCAGTACATGACTGACAAAGTAGACCGGGAGCTGACAACCGTCTCTTTCAGCAAGGAGAACAGCGCTTAACGCATGATCAGAGACGGCCAGGTACATGTAGAGTACTTCTTTGGGCAAAGGGCTGACCAGCCTCGGCAAGGAATGCAAGTGAACTTTCAATTTCTGGAAGGCCGCCTCAGCATCTGGCCCCCATTCAAACCTTGCCTTTTTCTTAATTGCCTGGAAAAAGTATAGGCATTTGTCGCCTGATCGGTTTAGAAATCTTCCCAAGGCCGCCAGACAACCTGTTAACTTCTGAACCTCTCGGATGGTACGAGGCGACTGCATGTCGATGACCGCCTGCACCTTCTCAGGGTTCGCCTCTATTCCTCTCTGATTGATTAGGATTCCGAGAAATTTCCCAGACTCAACTCCAAAGACACATTTCTTGGGATTGAGCATGACATGGTGCCGCCTGAGTGTGGCGAAAGTTTCTCGGAGGTCTGACAGATGATCTTTCTGAAGTTTAGACTTGACAATCATATCATCAATATATGCCTCGACATTTCTCCCAATCTGATCAAAGAACACAGTGTTTATCATTCGCTGGAAAGTGGCCGGGGCATTCTTAAGACCAAACGGCATAACCGTGTAACAGTATAACCCCTGATCAGTGACGAAGGTTGTCTTCTCCTGATCTTTCTTCCATAAAGGAATTTGATGGAAACCAGAGTAGGCGTCCATAAAGCTCATCAAAGCATGGCCGGCTGTTGAGTCGACCAGGTTATCAATTTTAGGCAGAGGGTAACTGTCTTTGGGGCACGCCTTGTTTAAGTCTGTGTAGTCTACACACATTCGCCAGGTGCCATTCGGCTTTTTAACAAGCACCACATTTGCAACCCAGTCTGGGAAGTAACATTGCCGAATGAACCCTGCATCAAGTAATTTTTTAACTTCGGCGGTTGTCGCCTGACTTCTTTCTTCGCCATGGTTCCGCTTCTTCTGCCGTACCGGCTTCTTTTTCGGATCCACGACCAGTTTATGTACCGCCAGGTCAGGACTAATGCCTGGCATTTCATGGACTTCGAATGCAAAGATATCCTTGTATTCTTTCAATAGTTTGTGAAAGTCGTCACTGAGGTCGCTTAGGGCAGTCGTCCCAACCTTGATTGTTCTGTCAGGACGCGAGTCATCTAACATCAGGTCCGTATGCTCACCAGCTGGCTGAGGGAGGAATTCATCCGACCGCTCCTCTGCCAATGATTGCTATTTTCTGTCTTTTCTTGCGGCCCCTGTCTGGGATGCCTTTCTCTTCTTGCCGCCTGCTTCTTGAACAGGCGCACTCTCCTTGACATTGTCAAGGTCTATTTTTCCACCACTCGACCCAGTGGCCATAACAGTGGGCTTGACATCCGAGAGATAGCACTCTCGGGCCATCCTCTGATCTCCCCTTAGGGACCCGACTGTTCCATTATCCCTCTCAAACTTGAGCAACATAAGAGATGGGATTATAACAGCCTTGGAATTATTCAGGGTTGGTCGTCCCAGAATCATGTTGTAGGCCGAGAGTTCTTCTACTACCAGGAACCGGACTACCATGTGTCGTCCTTCCCCTTTTTCGCCCAGGCGGATGGGTAAATCCACTCGTCCCACTGGGTGGACGACTCCTCCTCCAAACCCTACTAAAGGGTGGGATGTCGGATGTATGCAATCAGTCTGATATTTTAGTTTCGACAGACATTTGCTACTGATGAGATCTGAGGAGCTTCCGGTATCTATGAGGATTCGGCCAACTCTCTGGTTGGCCACTTTAAATTCAATAACGATAGGGTCGTCATGCGGCCCTCTTACCCCTCCTAGATCTTCTTCAGTGATGACAATCTCAGGAAATGAATATTTGGAGGGCCGTTCTTGATGAACGGAATTTACATCTAACCGTCTGATATTGTCTTTGTTGCCCCTAATAGTGGGGCCGCCTCCTGAGAAGCCGCCTACAATGGTGTAGACGACTGCATCATCTGTATCGGAGCTGTCGGCCTGTTGATTCTTTTTGGTCGACTGCTTTTTCGAGGAAGTGTTCCCCGTAGATTTCTTGACATAAGTGTCAAGATCACCTTGCTCAGCCAGGCGGTCCAGATACCACATGAGACTGATGCATTCATTGGTGTGATGACCAACATCTTCATGATAATCACAAAATTTTTCTTGGTTCCGATTGTTTGCAGAACCCTTCATGGGGACCGGCTTCTCAATTGAGATCCGTCCCTTGATTTCCTTTAGGATAAATTGGCTATCCTTGTTAAACACATACTTTGGGGAGTATGGTTTGAATTCTTTTTTCTTCTTCTGGGACGGCTGTTTAGAGGAATCAGTTGCCCAGACCTCTTTTCTCTTCTCGTCTTTGTTTGACGACTGCTTCTGTCGTCCTTCTCTTTTGTCGGACCTTTTCCGTCTGACTGTTTTACCGTACTACAAAGATCAGTCGCTTGTATATAGGCTTCCGCTTCAATCAAGGCCTCTTGAAGAGTCGCCACCCTCTTTCGGACCAAATCAAATTTGAAGGTCGACCCGTCTTTGAGACCTCTGAAAAAGTCAGTATAGGCTACTTCATCCGGTAACCCTTGAATCTGTATTCTCATCAGGTTAAACCGCCTGATGTAAGAACGAAGCCCCTCCTTCTCGCCCTGCTGAATTGTTCCTAAATCAAGGGTCGTCTTCTTCGCAGGGATGTTCATGGCGAAGTTGGAGGTGAATAAGTAAGCAAGCGTCTTGAAGTTATTTACACAACCAGTCGGCAGGTTGCCGAACCATTGTTGTGCAATTCCTTTGAGAGTCACTGGGAAACACTTGCACCAAGTGGGATCATCCAACCCTTGAAGGTACATCAGGTTGGTGAATGTCATCAGATGGTCTTCTGGGTTAGTAGTGCCGTCATAGGCGCCTACTAATACATTTTTCACTTTAGTCGGCTGAGTGGCTTCAGTAATTTCCTTGGAGAAGGCCGACAGCTGTTCACCAAGTCTAAGCAACCGTAGCTGCCAGTCCATAGGTTGGACATTTTTTGCCGCACGCCCACCAAACGGAGGTGGCTGTAAAAAATACTGTTGTTGCGGTACAAACGGTAAGTTTGGTACCGCCTGGTCGCTATGAAAGCCGGACTGACGGGAGGTGCCGCCTGACTGACTCTCATGATACGACTGAGTATGCCTCATCGAGGTATTTCGCAGACTGTCTTGGAAGTTTGAAGTAGAGGCCGACTCTGACAATCGGTCACTCTTATTCTGCTGTAGCAGTAGCCGAGCGTCTGTGTATGTTTTCCTCGACCCGTCCGCCTGAATATGACGAACAGGTTTCCTATTTCCTGGAGTAGGAAAACGGTATTTTGTGAAATCAAGGGCAGGTGGCTCCCACTTCCTAGATTTAGGATGAGGGGTCGCCTCTCGCCCTTAAACTGGCTTCCTCTTCCGTGAAGTGGAGGGTTTCTTAGTCGACTGCTCCTTGTCCAGAGCAGGCGGCTTCTTGTTGATCAACTCTTGAATTTCTCCCTTGAAGTCCCTCATGAAGGTCATGAGTTCGTTCCTTGTGATGGGAGCAGACCCATCAGTCGGCTGCTGCCGAACAGGCGGTGCGCCTGCTGGCTCGCTTCCAGTTTGAAGATGTTCCCGTTCCCTCCTTTCGGTATGATGGGTACGTCGGGCCCTTAGGGTCCCGTCTGAAGCTGTGTGAGCTTCAACTTCAAATTCATTCTCAGTATCGTGGTCCGACTGAACTAGAGGGTCGTCCAGGGGACGTCTCTCTTCAAGAGCCGGTACAAACGTGGATGCCATCTCAGAAGTACTCTCCCCACAGACGGCGCCAAGATGTTTCGGGTTTTTCTGATGTCTTGTGGGAGAGTTACAATTTCGAGACTGGAACCGGACGCCTGTACCTGCAAAACAAACGGATGCTCCGGATGATTGGAGTTCCGCCTCCGACGGTCAAGTTAGTACTTGATTAAGGAGTAATTAATGCGGAAATTAAAGTGATTGGGTCTCTCTAGGTGAGAGTGTTTAATGTGTGTAATCTGCGTGATCTCCCTTAATGAGAATTAAGGGAGGTATTTATAACCTCGGGAAACGTGCCAATCTAGGTTTAGGTTAACCTTGGGCTGATTGGGCTTCCCTCGGAAGTTGGGCCTAGGTGGCCGACTTCTCCATTAGGCATGGAGTATGCCACGTGTCATGACATAATAGGTCCAAGGCGGACGAATAAGCGTGTGCCACGTGGCAAGCCCTGAGAGGTCCAACTGGGGAACACTTGGCAGGACCTGATTGGCCCACGTGGCGCATTCCGATTGGTGGGAGCAAAATCCCCTAATCACTTCCTTCGCTCTAAAAAAATATTATGATATAAAAAAGTAAATTTATATGATAATTTTTTAGAATTATAATCTAATAATTTTTTTTTGAATAAAATATAATTCAATTTGTACATTTAAAAAATTGGTATTTTATCGAAAATAAACTTTTAAGTAACAATTTTATCCTAAAATTCTATCCAAATGGAATCTAAACTATTTTTTTATCTACTGAATTCTATTTAAATCTATCCAACGTAGCACGTCACTTGGCAAAAAATTGGAATGCCAAGTGTCGTTGTCTCGTGACCTGGCTAAAAGTTTAGCTTTATATATTAGTTATAAAAAAAATAAAAGTAATATCAAACAAAAGACCAATGAATAAAATAAGAAGTAGACTTGTAATTTGAACATGTGAAATACTGATATCCAAACAGATCAAAAAGTTTTGGTTGCTTATGCAAACAAACACAATGACAGCCCAGAAATTTGTTTTGTTATCTAAATTCTCAAATTGCCATACACCAACTTGAACGATTGGTTTGAATTGAAATTGATTTGTTTCCGAAACATAACAACGTCTTCAATTCGAATTGAAATTGATTTGGCGACATTGGAGATGGTTGTGGCCAAGATCGTCACAATGGAGAAAATCTCAGAGAACCTGAAAGTCTGGGCAGACTGAAGAGTGTGTGATACTGTAGCTAGATAAACACAGTAACTCTGGTGTAATTTGAACAATAATTTCATTGTTTGCCGCAAATACATAGTACCTAAGTGTGAAGGTTCAGCTATTTACAACAAATCCTATCGTAAGCCAAGTTAATTAAAGTTCTCTTTGCCTTCTCCACATTTCCATTCCACCATTTTTACACCGAAGAAACAAGTTTCTAAGAAAATACCATGCAATTCCATTACGGAGTCTGTCATTGTCTCTTTGCTAACGTCTTCTTCAATCCTCTGAGTATCTTCCCGAACCACATCAAGTTCATTGCAGCAAGCACAGACGGCACAACTAACACCAAAATGAAGCCAAATACATGCATTTGCATTACCTACAGTTATAATTTGATAGAAAAAACAGAAGTTCAGCACCTATAGTTATGTTGGTGGCTATGTCATCAAGAAAACAGATTGAATGTTGGCATTTGATTGATGAAAAATTCAACTAAGAAACTAGATAGAAGCCGTTTAGCAAAAGTACACATCCAATTTTGGTTTGTATTACGAAGTAATGAAATAGCTTTACCTTTTTAATATGGATGCAACTACACATTACCTTTAACCTAAATGTCATATGTTTCTTGCCGCATAAACAAAATAGGACTCGTAAATGTACGATTCCGCATATGAACAAAATAAAATACAACCAGGGGTAGTTAGTGAACAGACAAAACATAGGCAGCGTTACTATGGTCTTTTTTGTCCCTTTTCTTATGAGTAATATTAAGAAGAAAGCAGTAGTCTTGAAACAATATTGCAGTAGTATTATGCAAATATGATGAATCCAAACATCAATTTATTATGCTAAGTTGCTAACACAATCTCAACTTTGTACCGAGTACTTGTTTGGATAATAATCTTATGATCTAATTCCAACATTCAAGACAAGTACCAATACTTACTAGAAGTAAATGCTTACCGAATTTCCAGGTTTGATATTTCACTTTTGTGTCTTATATAGTAACCCCTCCATTAAGGTAAGCATACCCAAGGAAGAAGAAATAACCAAAACGATACGGGATAAAGACAGTCCAGTTCCATTCTAATGATTGCATCAAGCCAATCCACAACTAATTATCAAATTTAAGTTTTTACATGACCCATCTATAAATTTATAGTAGTTCTTGATAAATTTTGACTGATAATGATATTATGCTTCAAGATGCTATCATCCTTATTTCAAATGCCAAAATCAGAAATGAATTTTGATCAAAACATTCAATGATGGGCGTTTGGTTCTTGAATGGATGACTTTTGATGACAATTTATAGGCTAGTTGTTATTTAAGTTTACATAAAGGACAACTCCATAACAGAATTGGCTAAGCATGTTTTAGTGCACAGAAGATACAACGAGTTAATTAGAATGTTAGTGTAATTATCTAGTGGTCATAACATAGTTGTAAATCTTTGCATACAGTTTTCCTCTTGGTTATGCTTTATCTTCACTGTTTTGTCTAAATCCCAAACAGTTTGGTCAGTCTCGGAATACAAATATATTCTTGGAGTAGGAGTCATGTGCAACATAAAGGCCCTGTTTGGTTTGATGTAAAAGGTTTTCATGGAAAATGAATTTTCCATTTTTTCCCATTTTCCTTTGTTTGGTTTGTTAAGGGGTGGAAAACAATTTTTCCAACGGTGGAAAATTTCATCCTTAATGATGGAAAACATTTTCCTTCTCAAAACAAGGGAAACCACATTTTCCTCTCTCCTCCTTACCTCTTTTTTTACTTCCCTCTCATTCATCTTTACATTTCCACTCTTATTTTTTATTTTTCTTGTATGCAACCAAACAAAGGAAAACTAATTTGCAATTGTGTTTTTCCTTGAAAATATGTTTTCCAAGAAAACCAATTTTCAATTGAAAATGTTTTACATTAAACCAAATAGGGCCTTATAGTAATTTTTAGTGGGTGCAATTAGTCAATAAGCTTATACAATGGCAGTTGTACTCAGTTTTCCCTTGCAAAAGTAATTGCACTAGTTTTGTTTCACTTCAAGGCATTAAAACTGATTACATTCTAAACAATCTTTAAATTAAAACCCCCTCTAATTAGTGTTGAGTTAAGTCCAAAATCTGCAGATTTGTATGCACAAACTCCAAACATGATAAGTCAGGCCATTCGAGTTTTTTAGCAGAAACATCTAGAATTTCAGGTAAAGTCCTACCTAAGAAATTCCAAATGAGGATTAGAAACTTAATATGCGATGTTTTCTTTAAACCTACATTTCTCAGGTTTGATCCTCGCACACCGTTATCATTGGATACTATTCCAAAAGCTATACTCAAATGTACACCACTTTCAGAATTTAAGTTTTTTACATATGATGGCGATTTAGAAATTTCAACGAAGCAACTACATGCACAACACAGATGCTAATGAATAAAAGTACTCTACAAGACTTTCCTGCAGTACAGAGGACGGGTCACAAACATTAATTATACAAGGATGTCACCACATATACAGCAGGAAGAATCTAAGGCAGTTACCTGTTCATAGTGAAGGTAAACATGATAGAACATGTAAACAAAAAGCAGAATTCTTGCAACCTGCATTGCACATCACACTACTAGTCAGGTTACAAAATAAAAGCAACACATTCATAAGTATTAGTCACACTTCTAACTTTGATTTATAGCCAGACAATTTCTGTGGTTAGAACATGCATTTAAATTACTTCACTCAAAACAACTTATACATTCTTACTCTAACACAAATGTATACAGCTTTAGTTTCAAGCATTTGTTCATCGTCTTAATTAAATTAAAAAGCCAGAAGCAAGAAATGAAAGACGAAAAGATAATATCCCTCAAAGAGCCATGTACTCACCAACCACGCAAAAAAAATCACAATTCCATTAATCAGATATGCATGAGATCTTTTCAATCCAGCTGTATCAAGAAACCTTCATAGTAAAACAAAAAAACAGTGAGCACTGAGCAGCATTAACAAAAAAAAAAAAAAAAAAAAAAAAAAAAAAAAAAAAAAAAAAAAAAAAAAACAGCTTTGTAAAGAGCTTACCATCGCATATTAATTTCAGGTGTTGTCACCTCAGAAATAAGGACCATGAAGGTGTAAAGTTGCCCTTCCCCAGAAAACATAGCATAAGCAACAGCAATTCCTGAGAGAGAATGATGTATAACCTGGGCAAAGTGGTCAGCGTGTGAGAGAAGAATGGCAATAAAATGAACCAAGTAATATTGAGGGGTGTAGGAGGTTCAATGTGGTACCCTTGTCATTATCTACACTGACTTGGATTGTCAAAGTTGTTTAGACTTTACCCTATAGTCATAAAACCTAGAGGATTCAATACCCAATACATGATAGATCAATGAGCCTTCCACTTTACCTTTACTTTATCTTTCTTTTTATCTCTTATCTGAATTTAATTTACCGCTGTTTTGCTATAAAGAAGCTATATATCAATAAAAATACTCCCGCAAAGAAAAGGAGAGCATAGGGCTGAAAGATTTGGAAACTATGAAAAGAAGCAGTGAGCTCAAGCAAATAATAGGCAGGGAGATTTCGTGGAGATAGTCTCTTGCTCCCAGTAGAAAAGGACATAGAAAAGTGGTACTGATATGACAGAGAGACAGAGGGGGAGGACATAGAAAAGTTAGAGAGGGATAGACAGAAAACAAAAACTCTTGATTGAATTCAGTCAGCAAGAATCTAGTTCTTGTACATATACATAGACCATGTGTGTTTCTACATGCTTATAGAGAAGCAAGCAAGCCAAAAAGTCAAGGAAGAGGACTGCCTAACTCAGAAAAGTGAACCTTATTTACTACAAATTCTAAAACAATGGATCAATAACATGAGGCACAAAGATCCAAAAAAGTTGTAGTGATATAATCTCGAGAGTTGAAATTAACTTAATAAAGCATAAAACTATTCTAGCCCTTAATTCTGTATCACTGAACATATTTCCACGGTACAAAAGGAATAGAGGAATTTGTCATCAAATCAATTTTGGCCTCTAGACGTAAGCAATGAAATACCTTCAATTGGAGGAAAGAATAAAATTAATTACAGCTCCTTAAAACAAGCAGGAATTACGATCAGCATCAATAAAAGGTCATCTCTTAACATTAGAAGTTGCAAATAAATAATTCTATCTTCTAAGCTTATTAATAGAGTAAACCAAGAGTACAAGGTCATATAAGCCACTTTGAATCCTAAAGAAATTATGTTTTGACTGAGTGGAAAATGAGCAAGAAAGTTCTCTTTTTTGGCCAAATCTAGTAGACTGTATCTCAAACTCAAATTTTAGGGTGTAACTCCACTGAGCAGGCATATAGTAGGCCATAGATTTTAGTGTGAATACTCATTTGCAACAATGTTTTAATATTTTTTATAAGCTTAAGAAGATAATACTCCCAGCCACTCATATGAGACTTTACCATGATTTTTTCTCCTTTACCGCTATGAACAGATTAGGAAGTGATACATTGGTTTTCCATTAGCAAATTACATAATTAAGCCTATATTGAGAAAAAGCAAACACCAGTAAGATATCTGTCCAATGTAGACGAATCCACGATCCAGGCAACCTTAGATTGGAATAATATTGGCAACATCATCCCAGGAGAAACCAAAGCTCTTAAAGGCAAGCAAATAGATGTAAGCAGTCAAAGAATTGGCACATGCTTGAAAGCCAACCTCCTAAGATTATAGATTCTAACTCCAACCAAGGCTTAGGCTCAAATAACCAGTTTCCATAGCTGTGTAGTCAAAAAGGCTGTGATAAGCAACGGAATTCTGCAATACTATCATTTAAAATTTTAAGCTAGCAGGTAGATACTACGGTGGAAAGCAACCTCATCACAATCACCTCAAGTTGGTAGAGACATCTGAAATTTCATAATGCAAATAAATTATGTGTATACAAGGATCTAAAGTTTTATAAACTCTCTCAATCCCTGAATAAAAAATTAAATCACCAACAAAATTCTCTAAATAAAAGTATCATTTCTCCACTTTCGTTTTTATTTTTTATTTTCAGCTCAAATTGAACAAAAACAAACCGTTTTTTATTCACTTTTTTCAAACAATCTCCACTATCTTGTTTTTTCAATTCACCTCAAATCGACTGAACCCGCTTTCTTCTTTTTTTACTCACCTTCCTAATATTGCACGCAAAAGTTATTGCGCTGATGCGCAAGGCACTAGGGGTAAGCGCGGAACTTGGTCTGAGGAGGCGTTTGTGGTTAGGTGCATGAGGTGCATCAAAAGAGCACTCGAGGTGCACATGAGGCCCATCTGAAGTTCAGCCAATTTTTTTAAATCGTTCATATAGGATGCCTCACTTTAAAGAGGTACACCTAGGCGCAGCAAAACCCCTCTCGCTTAAGCATGCCCTGAGCTTTTTATACATTGGTTAGAGGGAGGACAATGTGTATATGAGGAATTTCAAAAGCAAAAAGATATATTGAGTAAATGGTTAGAAAACAAGTTGTCTGGGTTAGTTATTTTATCATAATTAACCATAAGTTTTTAACAAAGTGACCATTAATCATCACTCTTAATTAATGCCATGACCAGTAATTTAAAAATTAAAAAAAAATAAAAAAATAAAAAAAAACACCCAACTTTTCATGAAGAGGTAAGATGTGCCTATGAAAATATACTAGGCTGCAATTCATATTTCCAGGTTACGGGGATTGTTAATTGTTATAGGCTTATAGCCTTGTAATTAGTAATCTTGACAGTTGGAAATTAACAAAAAATACATGGATATATGTGAGAGAGAGAGAGACTTACATACTCTATTCCACCCAAAGAAGGATAGAGCCACATGATCATTGCAAGGTCTGCAATAAAGTACCCCACGGATACCTGTCAAATTTCACATCTGAGTTACCACAAATTACATTATATATTACAAGAAGATGAGTAAATTAAACTAATTTCCATAATCATGCTGACAACAAGCTAAGAATCCTGTAGCATACGAATTATTATAACCCATATTAATACAGATTCTAGACTGCATTCTTTTTCAACTTCTTAATTTTAAGACAGCAATAGCAACAGAAACAACAAAGCCATAGTCCCAAAATAAACTAGGGTCAGCTAACATGAACTGTCATGAGGAATAGTCTGGAAAAAACGGAACAGATATATCAGAGGAAGCACGGAACAAAGAAAATAAATTAACTATAACTACAAACAACAAGATGGTAAACAAGACTTTAAAAGCAAACACCAACAGTACCTGCCACGGATAGGATGGATAACAGGTCAGAAATTGAGAAGTTTAAGAGCACCCCATGGTTGGGTGAGTTAGATAGATTGCATGCCATGCCATGATTCATTCAGCCTAACACAGTAAGCCCTTTGATTTTAAGTTGTAATTCAAAACTCTGTTACAATTTTTTAGCATCTTTAACATTTTTGAGTAGCATACAAACTGGTAAGCACTCTAACTTCAAAGACATAAGGGTACCCCCCATGGTTTGGCAGTTACAACTTTGGTTATTATCAGCCCAATAAAGTGTTGATTTGGAAACTGTAAATGGTAAAGGCAACATGAAAGTAAATCCTTTCCATCCCATCAAACCAAATCCCACACCAAGAAAGAACTCTAGAAGTCTAGATGCATAAGGAAACAACATTGAACCCCCAAAACAAAAAATAACGCAAACAAACCACCAACCCAGCTCTTAAATTCAGATGATCATGCAAAACTCAGATAAGGAAGAAGTAATTGAAAACAGAGCGCCCATACAAAGCTCCACATTGGTGATGAAACTTGGAACTCCAAAATTTTGAAACATTCACAGGGGTAGCCAAAAAATAAAGGAGATTATACAAATTAATATATAAATAAACTTGGGCTTGACAAGGAAAAAAAATTAGAATCACATGCTTGATGTATGCATATGTCATTCTTATTTTTATTTTTTTGGCGCTTCTTGAAATGATAAGTATGGCTAATGACAATTCAAAAGAAAAGGTTCCATAAAAACAAAAGTCCATAACTTTCATTTCAAGGTTATTAAACCCAAAATAAAGACTCCACGAATGAATAAAATATCTGTAAAAAATGATTAATTCGAGTAAACGGTTCAGTTTTGGGTTCGGTTTATCAATTTAGGGTTATAACAGGTCGGTTTATAACGGGTTGAAACAATTAGCAAGTTAGTTTGAGTCAATTTTAAAAATTATCGTTAGTTCGGTTTGGCTTTTTTTTATTGAGGTTTCTATTAGGATCGGGTCCTTATTGGGTCACATTGTAATCAGTTAAAAAATTTGTAATCAGTTTGGATTGAAAACGGGTTTAGCCAGTTTAAAGCAGGTTTCGGTTCAAAATCGTTCAAGTCCCAATCGGGGGTCAAGTTGTAATCGGTTTAGGTCATAATCAGTTTAGGTTAAACAAGATTGACATGAAAATAGGTTTCAATTCTATATAAATTGGGTAAAATTGGGTTGGGTCATTATTAGTTCAGGTCATAATCGGTTTGGATTGAGTGGGGTCAGTTTGAAAATGGATTTACCCAATTTAAAGTGGGGTTCAGGTCAAATCAAATCGGGTTGAAATCGAGTCGGATCATTAACGAGTTGGGTTAATCAGATAATGGTAGGAACGCGTCAGGTTATAATCAAGTTAAGTATTAAATATTGTTGGGCTTAATGAGTAGTGGGTTGAAATGGCTCAGATAGGTTACGGAATGTAAATGGTTCGATCATAAAAGGTTGCGGGTTGTAAACGATACGATCTCAATCGGCTACTGGTTATGGGTTGAAAATGATTCGCTCTCAATGGGTTACGGCTTGAAAACAATTGGTCCACAGCATGTAACGAGCTATAAACGGCTCGGTCACAACGAGTTACGGGTTGGAGCTTTTTAGGTTTATTAGATTTTTGCTGGGTTTAAACGATTTTTGATTTAAAAAGGGTTGGTTACTATCAAGTTCATACATAATCGATTCGGGTTGTTTTCAGTTACAGGTTATAACGGTTGGGCTTGATAACGGGTCGGGTCAGTAAACGTTGGCAAAATTTTGCTTCAATTTAGTTTCGGATTGGGAAAATTGGGTCGGGTTAGTTTTCGGTTTTAAATTTTTTTTACAAATTAGTTCAAAACAGTCGAGTTTAACGATTCGGGTTAGAACTGATAGCTCTACATATGGACTATTATTTAGGGATTGAAGGAGAAGTAGTTAAAGTTTTATACTTTTATACAGACATAATCTTTCCCATCAAGTATCAAGCACAAACAAGTCTTCAAAAATTCAGATTGGACATGTAAAATGTGAAACCAAAATATAAAGAATACAAGGAAAGTGGAGAGAATAATATAAAGTTTAGAAAACATTGGCATAAACAAATCTCAGGAAAGACAAATTTCAGCTTCTGCATTTTTCTCCATTCCCACTAGATATACAAACAGTTGAGCAGCCATAATCAGAAGGTAAACAAGCAATTGAATTATTGTACTCGGTACAATTCTACAATCTGCATGGCATATAAAGAAAAGTTGGATGAAAAGAGTGAGCAACCTCCAAAGCTCCTCAGCCCAACGCCCTAGACATAAGTTGATACTACACCAAGTCACTAACTGTCACTAAATGTCCAAAAATAAGACCCTATCTCTTCAAACATCAAAATTCAAATGTCAGCACAGACAACACACAGTTTTCTCAATCCCTGAATCATGTCAAAATGAATATCTTATCAGCACTAATTGTATATCATCATATGATCTCTGAGGCTTCTTTTCTGAAAAATAAATTCTAGGGTCAAATTAAAGGAGTATAGTATTTGCAGCACAGAACAAATGACAACAGCTTTACATTTAAAATACCAATAGAAATTCTTCCAATAACAACCTAAGCAATAACTTACATTCAGGGCAACTAACAAGTGATGTTTGTGTTGTGTAGAAACTTAGAAAGAACATAATAAGGAAACCATGGGTAAAACATAAACACTTACTCCTAGGGTAAAAGTTGAAAGTGTTGAGCTACGGAAAGTAACATAACCGTTGGTCTGGTAGTCAGCATATAGGTCTGACCAGTAAACAAAATATAACGACATTGCTGCAATGAAAAGGGCATGAACCGTCGAGATACCACTGCAAATTATTCAATACAAAATAAGACAGATTGCAACAAAAAAATCAGAAAACAAAGGGTTCAATGAGAAGTTGGGGACCAACCGATTGTTCCATTCGATCCTTTGTACTTTGTTAAGACCAGCATAACTCTTGAAGTACAGGGCACTAAACAACTGGGTAAGATTATAGATCTACAAACACAAAGTATCAACACACACAATGATCAAATTCAAACATTCAGCATAAATAGAAATTTCAAAAAATTACTTCAAATTCTGCTGCATTGCAAGATTACAACCTACCCAACAAACTTGAATATGAAATAAGCAAGTAAAAGCATTAATCATTTACTTAATATTAATAATCCGGATCAACCTGTTATTTTCTCATACATTCCTAGACTAATACCATTTCAGTATATATATTCATATCTTAATCTAAAGCCGAGCATATCATACCCTGAAAACGGAAGGGAGAAGTAAAATCTGAACATACCACTTTGCAGGCTAAAATGCCTGCAATAATTGAAGTGTAAGGAATTATAGGATCAGACAACAGATGATTCTTGACCAGATTTTCAGCCTGATTTTGGTAAGACTTGATAGCCATAACAGTCTGCTTTGAAACTGCCATTTACCAAATGATGAAACTCCCTCAAATCGACCAAAAAAAAAAATACCACTTTAGATTTCTGCCATTAAACTGAGCTTCCTGGAAAAATTATAAGAGCAAAACAATAAAGTCATATTTTCAAAATAATAGTCATTAAAACGCAATTGAATAATGCCCAGTAATTCATTTGTATTGAACAATTGAAAATCAGACTAAAACAAGAAGAGGGTAGTTTACCTTGAAGCAGATCTGAATATTGTTGAAGAAGAAATTTTACTGCCTAATAAAGTGTTTTTTTAATTTTTTTAGGGGAATATTTCGAACTTGTTAGATTTATTAAATGCGAATCTACTAATTGAGGGAAATTATGTAGATTTTTTTTAGTGACTTGGGCGATGCCCAGGTTTGTTACTCCTCTTTTTTTTTTTCTTCTTTTTCTTTTTATATAATTTTTTTTTTAATGTTGGTTTGATACATTTTCGCAACTGAAAAATATTTAAACTTTGATAGAAAAACTTTCGATAAATAAATCACATTAAATACATACCGGTTACAAATTAAATGGGTCAAAGCAATGTAAAAAAATTGTAATTATTCATCAGTCTAAGTTTGCTCAAAATAAACTCAATCGGCTACAAAACTTAATTTGGCTGATGAAAATTATTTTTTTTTTAACTGATTTAATTAATTAGTTTACAATCAATACTATAATATAATTAATTTATTTATCATATAATTTACTGTACACATATTTAACATGTACATGTAATCGTTTATGTGGCAATTTGATTGATCATGTGGCTAAATAAGAAAAAGAAAGTGATATATGACGATATGACACTCCTTGCCTTTGAGTTTTAGAAAGCACCTGGACCAATCAAAGGAAGAAGTACGATTGGAAATTTAGGTGCATATGAAATTTTTGGAGGGATTTTAAAGGGAGGAATGTTAGGCATTTCTAAATGCCTAATTGGGGGCAAGAAGGTAATTTCGCGCGGTATTTTTTACTTCCAGCTGGGTTCCCGTTATACAATTGTCTAACACCGTTATGCTTTTTGCTTGTATTTTTGTTGTATTTCTTTTCGTATGTATGCACTAATCTTGTATGATATACTTCCAGCTTTGTTCCTTTGTTTTCCTGAATTCGAATTAAAATTGCTCCCCCTCTCTCATTCTCTCTCTCTCCTTTGAGGTCGAATTTCTTCTTCTTTCTTTGACTGCTCACCGTCCTCCTTCTCACCGACTTCGTTCTTCTTAAATTATACATCGTTTTCCCATTTTCGTTGTGGTGGGACTTGGAGCTGAAGAGTAGGGCAGCTCAAACCTTCGAACAAGTAAGTGTTATGCTGAAAACGTAATTGGTAGAACCCTAAGTTGACTTTTTGTTATGATTTTGATGAAATCGATTATGGGTTGTTTCCTTCTAATGATGGTTGTTTCGATTGTTCGTAATTTGTGTTGTTTCCTTATTTTACTCGTCATGAATTGTTTGTAGTTTGTGTTTTTCTTCAATTTGCCCCCTATCAACTGAATGTAGTTTTTTTTTTGTGCCCCCTATTTACTCCCTTTCACTGTGCAACGATTAATTGTGTATTTGATTTTTGTCATTCAATTGGAAGAATGTAAATATAGGGTTTTACTGTTTGGAGTAAGGGACTGAATTGTGAGTGAATTTAGTGATTTCCAGAAATCGGTTGGATTGTGAGCGTGAATCGCAGAGTGGTGCTGGACTGCTGGTTGTTATGTAATGGAGTAAGCATGTAACAGTTTGCCTATATGTGACGATTGGGGATGCAGTTCAAATTATTAGGATTTGGTAAATATTGTTGAAAGTTTTGCTGGTTTTAATGGTTTTGAGAATTTTTATTGCTACTTTGTTGAAATTGTAGGTGAGAAGTAAATTATGAAGAAAAAGTCTCTGGTTCGGAATTTAGGTTGGCAAAAGGGGGTAAGTTTTGTGTAAGGTTTGTGTTGTGTTTAATTAACCTTGCAAATTGTTGATATGAAATTTTGTTTGGTATTGGTATTGGGTCACTTTAAAGTCTTGTAAAGGACCCGTAAAGGGGAAAGGGTCTTCCAAAATACCTAAGGGGCAAGGGTCTTCTAAAGTAGCTGCCCCTAACAACAAATCAAAAGCTAAGAAAATGAATTCCAATTAAACTGATAGTGATGCAGAGGATGAAGATTACCATGCCTCAAGTAATTCCCAATCTATTAATATTGATGAGGATGGTGAAGAAGAATACTCAAGCTCTAAAGTGTTGAAGGGATTGTTGGTTCATTTCTTATAGAGAGACAGTAAGAAGAGGAAGTCAAAACATAATGATATAGGTTCAATGAAAATGCACAAGGTATTATTCTGGTTGATTCCCTCTATTTTGTGTAATGGTGATATGTGTAACTAGTAAATGATATGATTCATATATTTGTCAATAAATTGATAGTCCGATTGTTTTGTTGATGGTAGGAGTCTGGGAGAAGTGAAGGACATAGATTGTGTGCTAGGGGTGAGGTGATTAGGACACACCTTGAGAATATTGGCAAGTTATGATCTTATATTGAGTGTGTGATCTGTTAAAGATACATATTTCATTTAGCATTTAGGTGTGTTGATTTTTTATGATTTCATTTCGTAATTGTGTTGTGTGATGTGTGTTGTTTTGGTAAATCTCTAGCAGCCGAATATTGTCTGTAGAAAGGAGTCATTTTGTGTTGCAGTGTAGAAGTTTGATGAAGACCGGCGATAATTAGTTAAAAGGATGGGTTTTGAAGGGTTGTTGAGTTTAGATATGAAGAATATTCCACGGTAATTTTGCTATTGGTTGATGACTAGGGTAGGAGTTGATGGAACTGTTGTTTTTGGTGATGGAGGAGTGTTGCCTTTGGGTGCAAAACAAGTTTGGTATATACTTAGTATTCCTATGGGAGCAAATCATGTGCCCACAAATGTTAATATGGAGTGTGAGGAGGAGTTGCAGAAGGTTAATAGGATCATTGACATGTATGGTGCTGGGTCTAAGAAGGACACCATATCATTGGCTTCAAAAGTAATGTGTCTACTTGATAGTTCTGGTGAAATATTTCCTTGGGGTGGTGATGAGCAGGATGAAGAGGATTTCATGACTGCTTTCATGATAGTTGTGCTTGGAAAACTAATATGCACAATAACAAATAGCTCAAACATGGCCAGGTCTCTAGTACCTGATGTGACAGTTGCCTTAAGAGCAATTGATTATGATTGGTGTTCTTTTACTTTGACATGGTTGTGTGATACCACTACTCGATTTCAGAAGAAGTTTTTAAAGGATGGTTTTAGGTCTGGTTGTGGTGGGTGTCCTGTGTTCCTTCTGGTAAGTGGAGTGGTTAAATTGTTTATGATCTTTGTGGTTGGTGATGCTCAATTTTTTTATGAACTTTGTGGTTGGTGTTGCTTAAATTGACTGATTGCATAAATTGACTTATTTGGTTGGTGATGTTCAAATTTTCTACCTTGATCACATACAACGCGTCCCAGTGTAGTGGGGGGTGTATCCTAGGATCAAGGTTTGGACAACGGAAGAAATTCGCGCAGCTGTTGCTGAGGATCAAATGTCAAGGGATAATTATGGAAAGTTGATGGTAAGGCATGGTATAGTTAACTAGTGAGTTTGTAAATTTTGATTTTGAATCTATTGTTAATGAATGGAAATTTTGTGTAGCCCATAGATATTGCTTACAATGGGGAGCAACATCCCATGATTCCAAGGGAAGATGAAGTCCATGATCAAGATGACGTTGTCGACAAGGTACAATTAATATGTCCAAAATTATAGTTAAAATGTGGTTAAAAATATTTATGAAACTTGGGAATAATGTAAGGTCTAGTCCAAAAATTATGTGTTGTAGGTTTTGGCATGTCTCGCTCCTAGACGTGTTACCCTTGTTGAGGGTATTGTTGGGAAAGCCCTGGGAGTATTTGGTGGCGGCGGCGGCGGTGGTGGTGGTAGTGGTGGGTCCTATGTGAGTGATGGTGTTGTTGGTAACAGAAACAATGAGACGAACACCGGAACAAATGGGAGCCTTAGTAAGGGCGTAACGAAGGATGTTATGAGAGATGATAATAAAAAAAAACGATGAAGAGGACAATGGTACAAAGTCGAAAGTAATAGATGTTGTTGAGCGCACGCGTCAATCTGCTTTTGACAAACGGTTGGTGGCTTTTATCAGGGCTTGGAAGGACCATAAGGATGAAAATTAGTAAGAAACTTTAACCTCAAACATTGATCGTTGTAAGTAATTTAGAAATGTTTGTCTTAATGGTGAATTGGGTGTTTTTTTGCAGCTCGGGGCCGTCATTGATTGAGTGCGAAGGTATGGATGCTACTCAAAGAGATTGTTATCGGCTAGTCGGAGGGAGAGCACGGCTTGGCGATCAATATGTCTGCATGGCCTCTGTGCTTTACACAAAGGAATGGAGTGAAATAGAATTCCGTTTGCCTGGCAAACGCATTCTGTTGGACCCTACTTGTTTCGGGGTTTTTTGTGTCCCTCGGGAGAGTTACAGCTCAAGATTGGATTTAGCAAGAACGCCTGTACCTGCAAAACAAATGGAATACCGATGGTCGGTGGTCCGCCTCCGAAGATTAAGTTAGTATGGATTCGGAATAAAACGTGCAAAAATAAAGCTATTTGCTCGGATTCCAAGCTTAGGTGCTGCCTGTTTCTTGAGAATGATAGCTCAGTAATGATTGGAACGTGCCCCCATAAATGGGGGGAATGTCCTTATTTATAGGGACCTTGGGAAGTGTGCCCTACCCTAGGGTTTGATGACCTAGGGATTAGGGCAGCGCCGTTTTGCGGCGCCCTTGAAGTTTGGGCCTTGAAGACCGCCATTTCAAAGGAGGGATATTTGAGTGACGCGTGTCATGCATCTGGAGGGTCCATTTGGACGCCTCCCAGCGCGACACGTGTTGCTCTCTCATTGGTCCACTTAGGGGTATTAAATACCCCAAATCATTTGCCCCTAACAAGTGTCACGTGGCATGCCACGTGGCGCCTGTGATAGGTGTCGGCCTCTGGTTGGCCGAGAAATCACTTATACTGTTCACCTGAATCTAGGGTTTTTACCCCAGATCATTTACCCCCACTATAAATAGAAGGGTTGACCTCCCTTGGATTCACACTTGCGTGAATCTTTGGGAGAATCTTTGAATTTCTAACTTTCGAAGACTTTTGACTTCTTCAGCATCCGACACTCGGCCAGCTTGTCCGCCTGTTCCAATAAACGTCCCTTACCAGCACCTCTTAGTACCTTCTTCTAAGGTAACCGCCTGATCCTTTCTTTACTTATGTCTCTGTATTTTTCTTTTCAAAAATGGTTTCCTAAACGCACCCCGCACGACCTAGATTAGCGATCAGCCGGTCACCGGGGACGGCTAAATCTAGAACTAGGAGTGCCGAATGCTCGTTCGAGAACTA